TTAAAGATATTTATTCATTTTATTTAAAATATGTTTTAATCTTTAATTTTATAAAAAATATATTTTTAAAATGTTTTTAATTTTATTTATATAATGATCCAAAAGATCATCATGATCATTATGATCGAGTAATATATGTAAACAGGCGAAACCTAAGCACAAGCCTGTCTCTCTGAGTCATGTCAGTGAAAGTGTGTGTCAGATGTTGGCGGCGGTGACAGACTGGGCCTCGGGACACGGCCCACCTCCCACTCTCTGACAAACACAGCATAAAGTCAGTGTTAAACTGGGATTCCTGATGACTGCCTGCGTTTCAAACGTCTTCAGAGGAGAGAATGAGGAAAGAAAAGCTCAGTTTCACCTCATCAGAGTCTAGACCGCTGTGTGGAGGGAGCTGGTCAGGCTGCATGATGTCACAGCATTACACCAATCATCCTGAGGAAACCCTGCTGACACACACTTTTAGTGTGTGTGGTGGTGTGTGTGTGCTGTGTGTGGTGTGCGTGTGTGAGGAACTCACCCAGGGAAACTGGTTAGCGTGTAAACTCGCGGCGAAGCCAGGTGTAGCCCTGCCATACGTAGCTACGATGTTAGGCATAAACCTCGCAGGAGACGAGAGGCCACGTCCAGGAAAAAACATCAAACTTTCAACTGAATCACAAACACAAACAGTTTCCTCTCCACAACACGTGATGGAAACGATGGTCGGGCCTGAAGGGAACTCTCCCTGAACCTCCAACCTTTCTGAAGAACTTTATTTGAAGCACTAACTGACAACTGACTGACACCGACACCTCCTTCACATGCTCCATCCGTCCTTAGCTGAATTACTCATACGTGGCGATAGGCAGGTATTTACTGACCCTTCTGTTCCTTCCTGAAGGCTCATGCGCTGCGCGCTGCTGTTTTTGCAGCCTTACGAATTTTTGCGGACATCCAGCAACATGGAGGAGATATACTAGCGATCCAGACTCAACAAACCCATAGTTTTCAAAATAAAACGGGCCAGCAGTGTCTCCAAAACGTCTTCCGTTTTCAACTGCGTCGAAACTGCCGGAAGTCGTGTGGACGGAGAGGAGGAAGCGAAGAGATGCGCTTTAAAAGGAAGGTAGTCTGTGGACGCAGGTCAGGGTTCTCCTCTCCTGGTCCTCGTCTTTGTTTCAGGGAGTGGCTAGCGGCGGGAGCTGTGAACCGCTGTCAGAGACCTCAGCATCGACCTGCCTGACTGACTTGTCCGTTCACACTCACTTCACACTCCCACCTTATTCCATGTTTGTACTTCATATGATTAAACCGTTATCAGAATGCAACAGACTGTTGTCACACTGCGGTGAGCGAGCGTTGTGTGACATTAAATTCTAGGTGTTACTCATTTGATCAGACTTGTAGTGTTAAATAACAACAAACACACACCCACACACACACACACACACACACACACGACACGCAGCCACACTACACAGTGTACTCACTCAGCATGCCCTGCCCCAGCATGAAGGCGTCCATCGTGGTACGGCAGGCCCCGCGCGCCGGGACCTGTGTCCCTGGAGGAAACATCACTTCCTTGGGGCTGAGCTTTTTTCATCTCATACCTTGTGGACGCATGAACAGACAACTGAATCACACATCCATCAAACACGCAACACTCCGCTCCTACTCACCATGGAGTGTCTGTCTACGCTGTCACAGGAGCAGAGAACAGCTCAGAAGGACACTCATCCACTTCTCTTTAAAACCTCATCTCAGCTCTTTTCAACTTTCCACGTCACTTGACTGTTGGCATTGTGTTTTTGCGAGTTTTAATTTAGGTAAACTGCCTGCTATTTTGTTTAAAGTCTCTTGTCCTCCGAGACTCCCTTAATTACACTTAATTAAACCCCTGCCTCTGAACCTTAGAGAATGGTCCGACGGCCCTGCACCTCGTTCCTAAGAGCTACATCATCCATCATTTTTTCTTCTGTTAGACCCGGTCGAACGGTGGCAGTAGCTCCGAAGCTCACGGGTCCCAGACATCCGGCTCTCTCGGCAACGCTTTCGAGCTCCTACCGGGGACCTCGGGCCGTTAGAATGGGCGTTTAATGTACTCTCGCCGCTTCCAGCGACGTGCTGGGGTCCACCCCGGGGTTCTCCTCCGGTTTGGAAGGAGAGGAAGGCGCCACCAGGAGGCAGATGCCCGGACCACCTCAGCCTGTCTCTCTGAGGCTGTGCAGCGCCGGACAACCCTGCAGAGGGAACTCGTTTCAGCCCCGCTCGCATCATTCCTCGGTCCTTACCAGAGTTGTGACCAAGAGCGTTGTGATATGGTTGGAACGATAGGCTCAGCTCGTCGCACCACACACGGTCCGGAGTGAGAGTCCATGCTCTACATTGAGTTTATATACGTTTATGTATATTTAAAATCATCTGTGTGGTCTACTAGCTAGTGTGCTGCCTTTAGCAGACGCAGAGCTAGCATGTTTTGTTGTTGAACAGGCGCTACAGTAGAAGTATCAGAGACTGGGAGGGGCATCGCCAGACTGCTGCAAGGCATCCACGACCACTGAGGAGCTCTGAAACTTTAAGGGAGAGAGTTAACGTCAAAACACCACTTTCCCTTGGCACTACATTTTCTCAAACCGCTGAACCCAACACGTGTTCCTATATCATATAATCACTACCGTGCACTTGTATCACTCATCCCACCGCAGGTCACTCGACAGAATCGAAAAGAGCTGAACTTCACTTTTCTTTTTAAACAGGAAGATAAAGATGACAAAATCTTCTACATGAAAGCTTCATTTAAACAGCATAGTTGGATTGTTTCATTCGGCGTCTTTTAAAAGTGTCTAAACCAGGTGTTTTCTGCTGGCACCCCGCCCACAAGCGGTGGATGAATTCGAGTCACTCTGCTAGCGTACCCGGTCCTCCTGCTGCTCCTAAAAACTGAGTCTGATGCAGGAAAACACTCTGAATGAACAGTGAGACACCTCACCACAATCCCACGTCCAAATAACCACAATGAGCTCACTTTATCACTGATTATTCATCTTTCAGACACCGAGACAAACGTCTGGTCTCGGGACCATCAGACCATTATGGTTATTCAGGGCCTGGTTCTTAGCTGGATCTGCCTCAACCAGCACTGTCACAGGAACTTGAGGAAACTACATGTTTAATTTCCCCCTAGTGTAATTTTCTCTTGTCTCATTCTCTTCTCATTAACCCCCCCCGATCCCCAATCACTGATACTGCCTTATACAGGGGGATACAGTATGCTAATTTCGTCCTGATTTGGCACTGAGGTCAGAGAGCTCTGATTCCACCGCGGCTTTGCTCTGATGTCTGTTACTGACGCTTCAGTCTGACGTGTCACGAGAGCAGAACAACTCGACTTCAACCCTTCACAAACTTCTGCTGCTACTGAAACTGGGCGGGGGGGGGGGTGGTACGTGGAAGTTGCTTGCAGGGGAGGGCGTGACTCTGGGGGAGAATGCGGAGGTCAGCTTATGACAGCTGGAACTGAAAACAGGAAGGAGCAGACCTGAGAGCGCAGCCAGCGACCCCCCAGGAGAGAAAGACCAGCAGTGAACGTCATCAAACCGAGCCGAGGTCGAAAAGTTGGAATAATCTGCTCTCTGACGTCGTCTCCTCGACCTGAGCGACAGCAGGTCGAGTCACTCTCTCCTTTATGTTTCTCATCGCTCATCACGAGGAGGCGTTTCCGGGCAGAAACCGCCACGGCGCCATCTACAGGAGCGGTGAGCTACGCTCACGTCAGCAACGAGACTGAAGAATATGACTCCATTTTGAATCTGTAGAGACAGAATCATGATTCTGAGGTGAATCCATCAGCTGTCGCTCCGTCCTGCTTCACCTCAGTGTCCTGTCACGTGATCTGTGCAGCTGCAGCTGTTTCCTGTCGGAGCAGCGGCCGGTGACCTAAAGACAAACTGACGAACAGCAGCAGCAAATTCCTCCTTCACTGAGGAGTCACAGCCTCCTGCTTTTCATTCTTCCTCTCTCTCCGTGTTTCTCTATTACCCCCCCCCCCCCCCCTCCCGGGTTAACATAGCAATGAATTTCCCCCNATTCCCCTGAAGCCCAATTTAAACCAGGCCAGTCGATGAGTGGTGTGGAAGGAGGATCTGGGCCGCGGGCTCTCTGTGGGGAGATATCGACTGAAATAAAGAAATCACGCTCAGCTCCCCAAACAATAAAAGCATGTGATGTGCTATCATGTGAAAATCAATAGTTCGCATGTGAGGGGGCTTCTTCTTCTTCTTCTTCTTCTTCTTCTTCTTCTTCTTCTGCTTCTTCATCTTCTGCTTCTTCATCTTCTTCCTCCCAGTTGTTTGGGCGAAGGCGGCTGAGGACGGTCTCAGTGACAATAATGAGACTGGAGGAGAAGGAGCTCAGAGGTGAGACTGTGTGTGTGTGTGTGTGTGTGTGTGTGTGTGTCAGATGTTGTTGTTCAATCACTCACCATTTTATTATTGATTTCATGAAAATGGATCTCGCAGACTTTCTCCACCACGTCCTCAACTTCAAACGTCCGTGAGGCGCGCGCGCGAGAAGCGCGCGCGCGCTAAAACCTTGCCAGGGGGAGGAGGTGGCGTGGGTGGGGGGGGCAGACATTTGGTCATAATCCCACAAAGGCATCCTGATCCACTTACAGCTAACAACACTCATTTCTATCGCTTAAGAGGAGGAGATGGAGCCGTTCACCTCACACAGAGCTCCGCCTCCTCCTCCTCCTCCTCCTCCTCCTGCAGCGTTCAGGAGGAAACACACCTCACACCTGAACCACAGTGAAGTGAAGGAGAGCAGGAGAAGACACATGGACCTGCACAGAGAGGAGAGGAGGAGCCAGATCCAGATAAATCTGTGTTGTCATGGTTCCTCTTGATGAATCCGACTCGTGAACGAGCCTCGTTTCCACTATTCTCCATTAATGATGAAGACTCCCTTAATCAATCAGTTCGAATAAAACAAGTGATCAGAATCAAACAGTTACTTTAGTACAGTCACTGTGATGTAACGTCTGTGTCACTGATAGAAAATATTAAAAGATTATCAGTTAAACAACGACTCACAATCAATAATAAGATATTAAACACAAACAATTAATTCTGTTGATGAAACGTTAAATTATGATAAAACTTACTGATGATCATGAATCAAGCTCCCTGAAGTTTTATTTTGTTAAATTACGTGTCTCGTCTTATTTTGTATTTTCACTGTAACTTGGATCACCATGGAAACCGTGTGTTCACATGGTCACGGGAATAAGGTCACCCTCTGTGTTTATAAAGACCAGTCTATGAGCGGGAAATGGCGTACACATCATTTACACATCTGGACCCTGAACAGTGGAGGATTCGAAGGACAGGTAGAAGCAAAGAAAAAAATCTGTCCCTTCCTCCTCCTCCTCCTCCTCCTCCTCCTCCTGCTCCTCCTCCTGCTGCTCCTCCTCCTCCTGCTCCTCCTCCTCCTGCTCCTCCTCCACGTCTGACATCCGACAAATCAGCTGTGGAGAGCAGTTTGTCAGTGAGTCCAGCAGCCACACTGAGCGTCCAGAGAGAAGAAGAGGACGAGGGACAGGTGACAAGGTGAAAACCTGATCACCTGCGGATCATGTTTACCTGTGAATCCAGTCTGTAATACGTTCTCACTTTCTGAGATCTGACTGTTCTTTGTTCTGGTGGAGCAGGATCCCCCAGACACCTCCACCTCCGGGGGCTCCTGGGGGTCCACAGCAGGAAGAATCTCTTCAGCTCAGCTCTGAACTTCAGTTAAATGCTGTTTTAAGTATCGACGTCTGACTGATCTCATGCTTTATATGTAATCACTTTTTTAATTTGAAGTATTTATTATTTTATTATTATTCCATCTCATTTTAATTCACGTTTTAATGTTTTTTATTTCCATCAAGGTTTTTACGTCTTTTCTTGGTGCAGCTCATTTCTTTGTTGTGAAACACTTTGTGCTACATTTCTTGTATGAAAGGTGCTGTACAGATCAAGTGTATTATTATTATTATTATTATTACTGTTAATAAAACATGTAAAAGGTGGGGGACCAGGTGGGGTGGTTCAACTGTTTAAAAAGTTGGATTATTTTAAAATGAAATTTCAGTGGAAACCAGAGAAGGAGAACCGGAGTCCACAGACCAGCTGACCGTCACCATGAAGGTCTGTGGTCGGTGGATCAGCTGAGCTGCAAAGATCAGACGGTGAAGATTTGATACGTCACTCGTCACTTCTCACGTTTTAAAATCATAAACTGGAACTCCACAAAATCAACAGACAGTGATTCAGGAAGTTCAGAAAGTCAAAGTTAGAATCTGATAAATGAGCGAGCCACAAAAACACATCCACCCTGTCAGCATGATGTTGATTAAAGTGAGGAACCCAGCAGCCAATCACAGGCCACCCTGCAGGCACAGAGCAGACTGTCTCACTGTGACCACAGGCCAGTGTTCAAGCAGCTGAGAAACCAACTCAACTGAATATGATCATTTCAAATAATAAGTCAGTAATGCAGCTTGTAATAATAATGATAATAATAACAATAATGATAATAATAATAATAATAATGATAATAATAATAATAATAATAATAATAATAACAATGATAATAATAATAATAATTATTATTATTATAACAACAATAATAATAATAATAACAATAAAGTATAAAGAGAATAAAGGAGCATCCACTCAGTCTGAACAGGCTCCTTCTGTCTGCAGCCAACGACCCACAATGCACCACTACAAGCTCCGGTCTCCTCGCTCCAGATGGAGAAAATATACTTTTCTTCTTACTTTGACGTCAGCTGTCAGTCTGCACCTGTCGCTCTCTGACAGCGTCCAGTCTACAGTCACAGGTGTGTAATAACTGCCAGCAGCAATTATCAAGGCGCCGGGACGGAATCTCACACTTATTACGATTTGTAAGGCACACACACACACACACACACACACACACACACTCACACACACACTCACACACACACACACACGA